CATCTGTCATTTAACTGACGGAAGGACCATTTTGGTACCGAAAATGAAAGTCTGAGGATAATTTTGGTACTTTTTAAAGGTAAGGGACAATTTTGGTACCAAAGTGTAAAGTTGAGGGACCAAAATGGTACTTAAACCAAATAAAATTTCATATTAGTGCTTGATTTATTCTCTTATTTCCACTGCACCGTCTCCTTCTTATGGGTTCGATGATTCACTGTCGGAAAACTGCTACCACTTGATTGAAGATTCGGTTAAAAATCGAAATCCATGCTTTGCCAACCAAAACCGATATGCCCGAAACCAATGAAACCCCAAGCATTTCGGTGCGGTTGTTGGTTGTCAAAATAGATTGTTTACATGAATAAACTGAATACGTTTTAGTAGCTACTCTTTCAGCCTAGCTTCTAGAGTCATGAATCTAGAATCATCATTTAAAATTGTTAAATTGTGGTTCTTTAAAGCCAATGTACGATAGGGAGAAATTTTGGGTCTTTATATCAGTGGTTGCAAAAGAGAAGGCAGTCGTTTCGAGCTTTTGTAAGTGCCTAGGGGTTGGCTATGCATTATTAGGTGCAATTAAGCACATTTAGGTGTGATTAGGAGCTAGGCTATTTAGGCATTTTTGACTGAAACTATGTCATACTATAAAAAAAATACAAAAAACTAAGCAACAACTTAGGGTTTCGTTCAAGTCTCTTGTTCTCATATCTTCTTGTTCACATTTCTTTTATGCTAGTATTTGTGTTTTTGAATTTATTTGTGAGTGTAAGCGTGTAACTTGCTAGTAAATTATCTCAATTTGTGTATATTGTCGAAGAGATTATGCTAATACTTGAAATGAAACTTGTTTTCTTTTTTCCCTTTTTTTGTAATTTTTTAAGATTTTTTTATTTTCTTTATTTTTTTTATTTTTTGGCATTTTTTTAGAAAAAGAAATAAATAACAGGGGAAATGCACTAACCTAGGGTGGTGTTCCCATGCCTTACCATTGCCTAGTGCTTTTTGCAACGCTGCATTATATTCTTTATAGTAATAATGAAGAGAAAGATTGGACGTATTTGACATTTTTAATTGTTTCACTCAAAAGCATTTATCTAGAATTTAGAATGAAATTAACCTTTTGGTAACACAGAAGATATTAAAAATTTTTATTCCATGGTTTAGTATGGTCTTAAGAAAATTTTCTTGAACTAAAATTGATTTGTAGGGCTGTCTTTATAATCTTTAGATCCTCAAATGTTTTCCAACTGTTTAGATTCGCTATTCTCTTTTTTTTTTTTGTCAGCTGAAGTTACATGCCATCATGTCACTAGGAATCTGAAAAGAATTATTTGTATCTTGATATGCTTTCTTCAGTTTAGATTGAATTTTCACTTTCAGGATGAGGAGGATGTGAAGTCAATTGCTCAATTATTTGCTGATATGGATGATTTGATGGATTTTTGGATGAAGAAGATTAAAAAACAAGAACTCAGATTAAGAAAAGGATTTTGAAGAGAATACAGGTCTAGATTTTCGTTTTTCCAGCCTTTCTCTCATTCATTTCATCTTCATCTTCATCTAATTTTTCATACAAGTGTAGCTTAGATAAAAAAGAGGGATTACATTGAAGGCATGTTTGCTGAAAGTTAACATATCTGCACCATTTTCTTCCAAATGCATTTTGTAGTCTAAGCATCAAATCTCAACCCCCAACCAACTATTAAATACACCTACTACATTAATTGAGGAGAGTTACAATGCAAACAGCACTTTTAACACTCCTCCTTGGTGTTTGCTTTTGTAATTCCGAGCTTCTCTCTTAGCTTCTCAAATCTTGGCTTAGGAAGGGATTTGGTCAGGATATCAACATTCTGCTCTTCTGAATCACAGTGCTGCAAACTGATTTGATGCAGCGTGAAGCAAACTCAACAAACCTAAACACGTTAGGCTCAAAGAAAGTTCAACAAGAGACAAACTCTTAGAAAAGAGAAATCCCATAAATCTCATAAATTAATGTCCTGGGCTATAGCCTTACAAAGGTCTTAAATAGTTTAGGGCAATCCCCAAATTAAGAAGGAAAATCTAAACTGTAACTCCAAATAAAGAAAGAACTTCTAAACTAGAAAGGAATTCTAAACTATTAAATAGTCTAAATATAAAAGTTAAGCTGCTCCTACTAGGCTTGGCCCCTTGTCCACGTCAGTCTCCCCTTCTTGGAACAAAACTCGACCTTGAGTTGTCATCAACGTCCATAGGATAAAGTGATTCACTTGAATCAAAGTAGGGGAAAATATCAGCAACATTAAAAGTTCAAGAAATACCCATTGATGCTGGTAAGTATACCACATAAGCATTGTTGTTAATTTTCTTGAGGATCTTATAAGGACCATACTTGCGTGGCAGCAACTTATTGTAGGTACCTGCTGGACAGCGTTCCTTCCTCAAAAAAACCATTACTGCAAATGCCTTGTCCTTTCGATGCACATCTGTTGCCTGTTTATACTTGCTATTTGTCGCCTCAAGCTTGGCTTTGACCTCAGCTTGAACTTCTTGGATTTGCCCAGCCAAATTTGCTGCTGCAGTGCTAATGCCCCTCACTCCTGGCAACTTCACTAAGCCTACAGCATGATTAGGCACTTTCTGGTATACTCTGGAAAATGGAGATCTCCCTGTAGCACTATGCACTGCACTGTTATAAGCAAATTCTGCTTGAGCTAGAGCAAAGTCCCACTGTCTTGGTCGATCCCCACAGATGCCACAAATCATGTTCCCAAGTGTACAGTTCATTGATTCTGTCTGTCTGTCAGTTTGAGGGTGTGCCATGCTACTAAATTTAAAGAGGCATCAAACATCTTCCATAAAGTCATCCAAAAGTGGCTAAGAAAACGAATATCATGGTCAGATACTATTGATTTTGGCACCCCATGCAGACGCACTACCTCTCGAAAAAAGAGTGGCAACATTTGTGGCATCCGTTGTCTTCCTACAAGGAATAAAATGCGCCATTTTGGAAAACCTGTCAACCACAACAAAACAAGAATCCATGTCCCTTTGAGTCCTAGGCAAACCAAGGATAAAGTCCATTAATAAGTCCTCCCATGAATTTTCCGGAACTGGTAGTGGCATGTAAAGTCCCACATTTTGAGATTGACCCTTGGATGTTTGACACACATAACACCTTTTGACAAAATGTTCTACATCCCTTTGCAATTTTGGCAAAAAATAACGATCTTTAACAGCATCTAGAGTCTTATCTCTTCCCAAGTGAGCTGTTAAACCTCCCCCGTGCAAGTCTCTAATCAACTTCTCTCTTAATGAAGACCAAGGAATACAAAGTTGGTTGTCTTTCATGAGGAAGCCTTCATACAGATAATAATCATCTACAGGGGTTTGGTTTTGTAAACTAAACCAAACTTCTTGAAAATCTGGGTCATCTTTGTATAATTCTTTTAATTGTTCAAATCCCACCAGCTCACTTCGCAAGATTGCAAGTACTGTTCGGTTATTTCTCAAAGAAATGGAGAGAGACATTGAAGAGCTGAAATCAAGTTTCCATTTCAGTTTTCCAACATTTGTACATTGAGAGTTTAAATTTTGAAATTCAAAAAATACAAGCTAAGGAGCTCTTTTACAACAATATTTTATCATTAAAATAATACACATCATCACATGGCTCCAACTAGAAATATGACTAGAAAAGGACACAAAACAGTTTGGTTAGTTTCAGTTTAACCAAACTGAACTTGGGCAGCTTGATGGCACTGATATACTGCTACTGCCACTTAAGCTGCTTCACATAACTTCCATCACTCCTCCTTGACATCAAGGCTGCACATTCCAAGTTGTTCTCTTAATAGCTCAAACCTGGATTTTTGCAAACCCTTTGTAAAAATGTCAGCTATCTGCCCCTCTGAATTGCAATAAACTAATTGAACTTCATTTTTGAATTTTTCTCCTGGAACCAGTGAATTATTAACAACTTTGCAACTCTTCATAGCAAACTCCTCCTGCATTGTAATTCTCCCGACCTTCGATCTTGTAGCTCCTAAATAATTTGCAAGTTCTTTAATGACCATGTTACACCTTTCATAGATGTCAGCTTGTGTTCTGGTCCCTCTAATAGCAAAAACATCATCAGATTCATCATCATTCTCCTGCTCAAATTCATCATTCCCAAAATCAAATATTGGTTCATCATTTGCTAGAGGAACCTGATCTGCAGCAACAATTTTTGAGCTTTCCCAGTTCCAAGTTGCACTTTCATCAAATTCCTCGCTTTTGCTCACATCAACAACACTAGCCTTTGGACTAATTTCAATTTGTTTCCATTGAATGGGAAAACTCCTTTCATTCATTCTAACAGTAAACATTTTTGAACCAGATTCATCTTCTACTTCACATATTTTGTCATGAAAATGAAGGACATAACCATGTTCAATCAATTGACCCACACTTATCAAGCTATAGTTAATATTAGGCACAAACAGTATATCATGAATGTATTTGATACCTGTTTGTGTCTCAACAGCAGCTACTCCCTTGCCTTTGACCTCCATCAATTCTCTATTTCCCAGTCTGACTTTTGAATTGTATTTTCTGTCAAGACTTTTGAATATGGCTGCATTTGGGGTCATGTGGTTTGTACAACCACTATCAATCAACCAAGAGTCACTGCTTAAGATGGCTGCACTGCAATCTCTAGTCTTTGTAGCCATAAATAGATGCTCTTCCTCTTCAACAATTTCTGCAATTGTTGCTTGCTGAACCCGATCTGAACCTTCTTTGCAGACCCTTTCAACATGTCCAAACTGCTTGCACTTTCTACATTGAACTCCAGGCCTAAACCAACAATATTTCTCGGAATGGCCTTTCTTTTTGCAATGAGAGCAAGATGCATAGCTCTCCTTTTTGTTGTTTTGATACCCTTCCTTTTCTTGGTTTCTTTGATCACCGAGCTGCTTGTTTTCATCATCTTTGGCTACTACTTTATCTCTTTCAGTTGCCAAATATGTTCCTTCAACATTGTTTTCAAGCCTCAAAGCCTTTCTTTGCTCCACGGCTTGCAAAGCATTGACTAATTCATTCAAGGACAATTGAGATAGATCTTTGGAATCCTCCAAGGATGAGATCTTGTGCTCAAATTTCTCCGATAAACTCACCAAAACCTTCTCAACTACTGCCTTATCAGACAGTTCTTCCCCTTGCAATCTTATCTTGTTCACCACCTTCGTCAGTTGGTCGGAGAACTTCACCGTCTCTGTATCCTTCATTCTAATGAGCACGAACTCTCTTTTCAGATTGAGAACCTCCATTTGTCTTGCCTTGTTATCACCTTGGAACTCCACTTTCAGCTTGTCTCAGGCCTTTTTGGCTGTCTCACAAGTCATGATTATGTTGAAAATTTCATCGGTCACTGCTGAGTGAAGGCCGGTCAAGGCTTTGTATCTCTTTGCCACCTCCTCTGAGTGTCTCTTGATTTGAGCAAGAGTAGCATTTGGAGGAAGAGAAGCTGGTTGACGATCTGTCTCAACCACTTCCCAAAGTTCGAAAGCCCTTAGATATGCTTTCATCTTCACTGCCCAAACTGTGTAGTCTTGGCCAGCAAAAATAGGGGGTCTTTGCGGTGAAGCTGATGTTTGATTCCATTGCAATAAGGTTTAAGGTGTTTGGTGTATTTAGGTTTCACTCAAATCTCTCACAGTCCCTCAAGAACTCATGGCTCTGATACCATGTTCGGTTATTTCTCAAAGAAATGGAGAGAGACATTGAAGAGCTGAAATCAAGTTTCCATTTCAGTTTTCCAGCATTTGTACATCGAGAGTTTAAATTTTGAAATTCAAAAAATACAAGCTAAGGAGCTCTTTTACAACAATATTTTATCATCAAAATAATACACATCATCACATGGCTCCAACTAGAAATATGATTAGAAAAGGACACAAAACAGTTTGGTTAGTTTCAATTTAACCAAACTGAACTTGGGCATCTTGATGGCACTGATATACTGCTACTGCCACCTAAGCTGCTTCACGTAACTTCCATCAAGTACCATCGACCTTCGACTCAAAGCATCTGCCACTCGATTTTGAGAACCAGATTTATGAATAAGCTTGAAAGGGAATTTCTACAAGAAAGAGGACCAGCGGGCATGTAAGTCACTTCTAAGTCTCTTCTGGCTATTCAAGTATCTCAATGCTTAGCGGTCGGAGTATAGAACAAACTCCTCGCCAATTAGATAATGTTCCCAAATCTTTAAGGCTCTCACCACTGCATCAAACTCCTTATCATATGTTGTCCATTGCCACTTAGAGTCACTGAGTTTCTCACTAAAATAAGCTACAGGCCTCTTCTCTTGGGAAAGTACTGCTCCAATGCCCACTCCACTTCAAATAGCTTTCCAAAGTTCGGTGAAGCCAAGACTGGTGCTGTGCAGAGCTTCTCTTTAAGCAACATAAAGCTTCTTTCTTCTTCGTCTCCCCACCTAAACTTCCCTGTCTTCATACATTCAGTAATAGGAGCTGCAATGGCACTAAAATTTCTGATGAATCGATGATAAAAAGTAGCAAGTCCATGAAAGCTCCGTAGTTCACTTACTGATGTTGGTGTGGGCCAATCTTCAATTGCTCGAATTTTCTCTTCATCAACTTGAATTCCTTGGGCACTAATGACATATCCCAAAAACAACTTCTCCACCATAAAATTGCACTTTTTAAAATTCAAAAACAATTTATTGTCTTGCAATACTCTTAGTACCTCAAATAAATGACCCATGTGTTCTTCTCTTGTCTTACTATAAATTAAAATATCATCAAAATAAATCACAACAAAACGGCCAATAAAAGCCTTAAGTACCTGGTTCATAAGCCTCATGAAGGTACTTGGAGCATTGCTTAAGCCAAATGGCATTACTAGCCACTCGTACAACCCATCTCAAGTTTAAAAAGTTGTCTTCCACTCATCTCCTAGTCTAATACGAATTTGATGGTGGCCACTTCGAATGTCAAGCTTGGCGAACACCTTAGCCCCATGCAGCTGGTCCAACATATCATCAAGCCATGGTATGGGAAACTTGTACCCGATTGTAATTTTATTAATAGCCCTACTATCAACACACATTCGCTAACTTCCATCTTTCTTTGGTGTGAGCAATGCAGGTACAACACAAGGGCTCATACTCTCTCTGATCATACCTTTCTCTAGTAACTCTTCAACCTTCTCTCGCAAAATATCATTCTCTTTTGGACTCATTCGGTAATGGGGTAAATTTGGCAAACTAGCTCCCAGCATGAGGTCTATATGATGCTGTATATCCCTCATTGGTGGCAACTCAACAGGTAATTCATCTGAAATTAAATCTGGAAACTCTCTTAGGATGACTTTTACCTCCTCAGGAAGCTCTCTTTTCTCAGCTTGGTTCGGTAACTCTTTCACCAGCAAAAAATGAACCTCATTGGCCTCTTTGCACTCCAAAAATCCTTTCCCTGAATTAACCACTGTCAAGAATGTTTTGTTTGCGTTTGGTGGTGTAGATTTTGCTTTTGATTTCCTTGACAAAGGCAGCAAAGTGTAGTGTACCCCTTCCTTGACTAAACAATAAACGTTGTTCCTTCCGGAGTGCTGAGCATCCGTGCCAAATTGCCAGGGTCTTCCAAACAAAATATGGCATGCATCCATATCAACGACATCACAGTAGACCTCATCTCAATACTGCCGATGGAAAATGGAACTTTACACCGCTCTGTCACCTTTATTTCATCTCCAGACTTGATCCATCCAATTGTATAGGGACTTGGGTGCTTCTCGACTTCTAGTTGCAACTTTTCAATGGCTTCCCTTCCAATTATATTCTCGACTCCCACTGTCTATAATTAAATCAAATGTTTTTGCTTGGACCTCACATCTTGTTCGAAATAGCTGACACCGATGGGTGTTCTCCTCTACCTTTGGTGACAACATGGTCCTCCTCACCACATAAGTTTGCTCGTGTTCATCTTCCTCATAGTCTCCATCATCATTTGGGTCACAAAGAACTTCATTAACATCATCTCCTTGCTCAATCAAAGCCACCTTCTTGCGAAGAGGACAATCACTTGATCTATGTCCCGGTTAATCACACTTGTAACACTTTCCACTGATTGGTTGTGCATACGGGTTGGAATTTGATACCTTATAAGCTTCAGCCTCTTCCATTGCTTTCTTGCTTGTGTTCTTCACTGCTGGCTTGTCTATTGCTGGTTTACTTTGTGTAGGGTGGGTGAGGTCATCTTCGAACTTTAAGCTAGAAGCGCTATAACCTTTTTGATAAAATTCAAACCCTTTTCCCCAATGCTCCTTTGTCGTTGCCTCAGTTTTGTGGGCTAAGTTTTAAGCTTCAGACACTTCATATAACCTGGACACCAATTTTCTCTTTTAATGCTAGTCACAACCCTTCAAGGTATCTAGAGACTTGCTATCCTTCAGATTCATGTAGATCATTCCGAGCAGCCGAACGTAGGAACTCAGCTGTATATTCATGTACTATTTGCAGTCCCTGTACACACTTTTGATATTTAGAGAATAAATATTGTTCATAATCAGGAGGCAAGAACCTGGCTCGGAGCTTTTGCCTCATATGCAGCCAAAGACAAATGGGAGTTTTGCCTTCTCTTCTTTGGTTCTCCTGTACCTTATCCCACCATAGGGCAGCACCTCCCTTTAACCGATATGCTACCAACTTCACTTTCTTTTCTTATGGAGTGTCCATGTAATCAAAAAACTGATTTACTTCTGATAAGCAGTCTAAAAACCCCTCAATATCAAGAGAACCATCGAAAGTAGGAAGGTCGACTTTTAGACGAAAGTCTTCTGGTTCATAGTAATTCTCTTGATGTCCTGCTCCGTAGCCACCTCCGAACCCTCCGACATAACCTCGTCCACGTTCCCTGATGTTTCTTGGGTTCCCACGGTTCACCACCTGTTGGGCTACATCAACATCATCATCACTTGAATCATCATAAGCATGTAACCTCCAATTAATAGGATGGTGTTGATCAACAAGGCGCTCTCGAGCAACATCTCGGTCAGCATCCCTTGCTACCTCCGGCCTCCTATTGAGATTCACTACAAGAGTGTGCAAATTTGCATGGAACTCGTCGAGACTCCTTTCTATCTCTGTGAGTCGCCCTTCAAATCTGCAGCCGTCTTCATCCCTTCTCCAGCGACATCGGGATGATTTCCTCCAGACCCATCAGCCATGATACCAAGATTATGCGTTCCCGCTCCAATACCACCTGACGTAGTGTGAAGCGAACTCAACAAACCTAAACATGTTAGGCTCAAAGAAAGTTCAACAAGAGACAAAATCTTAGAAAAGAGAAATCCAATAAATCTCAGAAATGAATGTCCCGGGCTATAGCCTTACAAAGGTCTTAAATAGTTTAAATATAAAAGTTAAGCTGCTCCTACTAGGCTTGGCCCCTTGTCCACGTCATGATTTCTTTTTCCTTGATGAAATTTCTGATGACATGATATTTCACCTTGATGTGCTTTTGTTCTTCCATGTTGAATTGGATTTTGAGCTATCGAAATTGCTGACATATTATCAATCTTCAAAACACAAGCTTCATCTTGATCAAAACCCAAATCGACCAGCATTTTCCCCAACCATACAGCCTGATTTGCAGATGCTGCAACATATTCTGCTTCAGCCATGGATTGTGCTACCACATTCTGCTTCTTTGAAATCCAAGAAAATGCTCCAGAACCAAAAGAAAAGACATAACCAGTTGTGCTCTCCATATGATCTTCACAACCAGCCCAATCAGTATCAACATAACCTTCAAGCTTTCCTTTGCAACCCATTTCATACCAGATTCCATAATCAAAAGTTCCTTTTAGGTACGTGAAAACTTGTTTGGCTGCAGAAAAATGAGTATGACTGGTTGAGGACATGAACCTGGAAAAAAGACTTGCTAAATACATTAAATCTGGCCTTGACGCTGTTAAATATAGTAGACTGCCAATTAAGCTCCTGTACTGAGAAGAATTTGCCTTCTTTTTTCCATGATCAATCATGTATTTTTCATTGAGAACCAAGGGAGTTGCCACTGGCTTGCAATCTTCCATTCCAAATTTCTTCAACATATGAAGTGCATACTTTCTTTGTGACAAAAAGATTCCATTTTTGCACTGCTGAATTTCCATTCCAAGGAAATATTTCATCTCACCCAAATCTGACATTTCAACTCCTTCATCATTTCAGCCTTAAAATTGTGCAAAAGCTGGCTCGTTACCACCTGTTAACAACAAATCATAAACATATAAAGACACAATCAGTTGAGAATCAGAATTAGTGCCTTTGACATATAAAGTAGGCTGATTTTCACTCCTGAAATCCTATTGTAGAAGATAATCATCAATTCTGCTGTGCCAGGCCCTTGGTGCCGCTTTGTTAACCCTGTACACATAGTCCTCTGTTCCTGCAACTTCAAAACCTTGAGGTTGTTCAACATAAATTTCTGCTTCTAGGATTCCATTCAAGAAGGCTGATTCAACATCCATATGATAGAGTTTCTAGCCCAAATTTGCAGCTAAAGCAACATGGAGTTTAATTGTATCATGCCTGGCTACTGGTGCAAAAGTCTCACCATAATCAACTTTAGGCTCTTGAGCATAGCCTTTGACTACCAACCTGGCCTTGTATTTATAAACAGACCCATCAGTATTCAATTTTGTTCTGTAAACCCATTCAGTGTTGTCAAAAGCGATCGCTTCATTGCTTAAAGCAACGAAGTGAAGCGAACAAAAGCACCATTGCTTCAAAATTTCTAAAGCGCTCTACTTAAAAGAAGCGGTCCCAAAGCAATTGAAGCGAAGTGAAGTGATAAAAGCGCTTTGATGTTGAAGCGACCACTTCTTTAAAATGACATAAAATGACAAAAAAGTATAGAAGCATTAAGGGTTTAAATTGGAACTTTGACTCCAATTAGGGCAAAAACAAGAAGCTCTGTGCTTGCTGGCTACCTCTTGCCCTAATTTTCTTTGTGATTCCATTGTCTTTTGACTTCATCATCTTCCTGAGACCTAACTTCATCAATTCATCTGCCATTTACAAGAAAGTCCTTTCTTGTTTTTTATTTTTTATTTTTTTTAATTCACATATTCTCCTTCCCATCTCTTTTTCTTCCCTGACTGCATCCTCTTCCCTAACTTTTTGACATATTCTCTTCTTTCTTTCTTTCTCTTCTTCGTTTTTTTTTTTTTTTATCAGCAAATTATCTTAATTTAGTTAAGATAAAGTTTCATGTAAATATTAACAAAATTCTCTAGAATTGTCTTAATTCTACATTTCCGCTTTATCCCTTCTTTATCTTTCAGCTTTATTTCTTGTTAGTAAACTTATAGCATTCAGATTTATCAAGTCTAGGGGACCTTGATTAAGAAACTTAATATTATCTACATGGTACAGATTGAAATAGTCAGTTTTTCACTTTATAAGACTTCTGAATTTTAATTCCAAAACAGAATTTAGTTCTAATTGCACTAAGTAAAGTAAAATTTAATTTAAACCTGTCACTTGCACCCTCTTCTACGTTTCTACTCTTAATACTCTTAAGTTTCTATTTTAATTAGTTCTATTTGTTTAATAATTGATCACTTCAAAGTATTACTCACTTCACTTCATAGAAACGATCGCTTTGCTTCTCACTTCATCGCTTCAACATTTTTTAGGCCATCACTTTGCCTCACTTTTTGCCTTTAACAACACTAAACCCATTTTACCCCAATAATATTTTTGTCTTGAGGCCTTTTTGTGAGGTACCAGGTTTCGTTCTTCTCTATCACAGCTATCTCCCCCTGCATAGCTTGCAACCAAACATCTTGTTTTGCAGCAACTTCATAACTTGATGTTCTGAAATAGCAAAATTACAACTTTCACACACTTTAGATGAGGACTTTGTCTTCAAAATTGGTGAGTCATCATCGACTTCAGCAATTTCTGTATTTGATGGCTTGTTGGAGCTTGCTAAATTTTCTGAGTTTTTCCGCACGTCATCTGTTCTTTCAACTTTTTCTGCTTCCCAATACCAAAAGGCTCCTTCATCAAAAGTCACATCTCTACAAACATTGACCTTCTTGGTCTGAATATCATAAACTCTATAGCCTTTTGACTGAGTGGAATATATCACAAAATTCCACTTAAATGTCAGGAATATGAGTGTAACATACTGAACCAAAAACACTTAAATGATTTGCAGAAGGCTTCATGCCATACCAAGCTTCAATTGGTGTTTTATCTTTGACAGCTTTAGTGGAAACACCATTTAGCAGATATACTGCTGTATACACAGCTTCAGCCCAAACAGACTGGGGTAGCTTCTTCTCTAACATCATGCACCTGGCCATTTCCATAACTGTCCTATTCTTGCTCTCAGAAACTCCATTCTGCTCTGGAGTGTAGCTGACTGTAAGTTGGTGTTGGATGCTGGCCTCTTCACAAAAATTATTGAACTCAGAAAAGGTATATTCTTTACCATTGTCTGATCTGAGCTTTTTAATTCTGCATCCACTTTGGTTTTCAACCAAGGCCTTGAACTTCTTGAATACTGAGAACACTTGAGCTTTGACCCAAGTCATTCTAGTGAAATCATCAATGAACATAATGAAATACTTGTTTTGGCCTAAAGAAGGAACTTTCATGGGACCACAAATATCTGTATGGACAAGCTCTAGCTTTTCACTAGTTCTAAATGCCTTGTTGATAGGAAATGATAGCTGATGCATTTTTCAAAGTTGACAGCCTTGACACGCCTCATTGGTTATATGCACTTCTGGAAAGTCTCTGATCAAGTCATTAGTTTGCATGTATTTCAATGCTTTGACATTAAAAATGGTCATATCTCTTATGCCAAAAAAGTGTATCATTGGCTTTAGAAGCATGTAAGCATTTCTGAATAGATTGCATATCTAGAAGAAAACTGTTTTTGACCATCTTAACTCTAGCAACCTCTGTTCCAAATGAGTCATGAATATAGCAAAAGTCATTTTTAAATGACAAAGAATAGCCTTGCTTCATCATCTGGGCAACAGACAACAAATTTTGACTCAAGCAGGGCTCAAATAACACATCTGAAATTAGCTTAGTACCTGAACTTGTTGGGATTGCTGCTGTTCCCTTTCCTTGTGAGAAAACCACAGTGCCGTTTCCAAGCCTGAGACTTGTTTTCACTGATTTGTCCAGGTCCAAGAAAATACTTTCATCTTGAGCCATGTGGCTTGTACAACCACTGTCAATACACCAAGAACTGGTAGAAGTTGAAGAGCTGCTTGAGAAGGCTACAAACAAGTAATCTTGTTGTGCATGTTCATCAACATAATTTGCTTTCTGCTGTTGCTTTGGTCTGTACTGAGGCTGTTGTGTTCGTTGAGTTTGCTGAGCTTGTTTAGCTCTGCAATCTCTCTCCATATGGCCATATTTCTTGCAAAATCTGCACTGGATTTGAGATTTTTTTTTAAACCAACATCTCCTTTCTTCATGGTTGGTTTTTTGGCAGTGTTTACAAGGAGGAAATCTCCCTCTTCTTGCTTGGAAAGGTTGATAGCTTTGTTGACTTGAGCTATCTAACATCTTTTCATTTTCATATTCTGCAGAGTCTGGTGTCTCTACTGCTTGCTTCCCTTTTTCCTTTGCTTGAAGGGCTTCTTCAGGAACTTCATCACCTTGAATAGACAGCCTTCTCCCATGAGCTTTTAGCTTGCTAATGAGCTCATTAATGGTAAGCTGATTCAAGTCATTAGACTCTTCTATTGCTGAGATCTTTGATTCCAACTTGTCTGGTACACTGACCATTATCTTATCAATAACTCTTTTATCTGGAAAATCTTCACTTTGAAATCTGATTTGGTTGACGATGTCTATCAGCTTGGTTGAGTACTGATGGACTGCCTTTCTCTCTTTCATGGTTAACATTTCAAACTGCCTTTTTAGTGTAAGCAAGTTGTTATCTTTCACTCTGTTGTCACCTTCAAAGTCCTTTTGAAGAGTATCCCAAGCACTTTTTGCTGTTTCTGCCCTCATGATTCTCAAAAAGATTGTGTCTACTATTCCACTATGGATGTACGTAAGGGCTCTGTAGGAGTTTTGAACATATTCTGCATGTTGCTTCAACTGTGCTACAGTTGGGTTGTTTGGTAGCCCGGGAGGATTAAAGCCATTTTCTACTGAGTCCGACACACCATTGCCTTTTGGGAATGCCTTCATTTTGACGGCCCACATGTTGTAGTTCTGGCCTGTGAACAATTGGAAAGAAATCCTGTTGATGTATTGTTTGTAGTCATGGCTGTGTTTCTTTGCTAGCACAGCTTCTCTCCCTCACGTACTCTTGTGTTTACTCTCTCTCACACACACCCCTCACTGTTTTGTTCTCACATGTCCCTCAAGAAGTGTACCTCTGATACCAATTGATGGAATTTTGGATGAAGAAGATTAAAGAACAAGAACTCAGATTAAGAAAAGGTTTTTGAAGAAAATACAAGTCTGGATTTTCATTTTTCCAGCCTTTCTCTCATTGATTTCATTGTCATCTTCATCTAATTTTTCATACAAGTGCAGCTTAAATAAAAAAGAGGGATTACATTGCTTAGTATTTCCTCAACTGTATAGAGAATTACATTTAATGCATGTTTGCTGAAAAGTTAACATATCTGCACCATTTTCTTCCAAATGCATTTTGTAGTCTAAGCATCAAATCTCAACCCCCAACCAACTATTAAATACACCTACTACATTAATTGAGGAGAGTTACAACGCAAACAGCACTTCTAACATGATTCATATGTTGAACTAATTGCAAATGGTATATATCATCATTATTTATTCAAATCCAATTTCAAAATAATTGAATGTGTTCTACCTCTTATTGACATATTATTTTGAGTTATATATAGATTTTTTTTTCCATAAATAATATTGAAAATTTCAGCTTTGATATATATATGTGTGTGTGTGTGTATGTGTGTGTGTATATATATATATATCTCCTTACCTGAGATTATATTTTTAATTTGCTAAAGGTTCTGATGAATCAATGTTGATAGTGTGTGCATTATTGGAGGTTGCTTCACACCCAGAATACGATATTGCTTCAATGACCTTTAATTTTTGGCATAGTCTTCAGGTTATCTTGACAAAAAGGTTGATTTTCATGGAACTTTGCTATTGGTACTTCTACATTATATGTTGTTGATTGAAGTTGTGAATAAATGATTTTTATCTGCCAGGATTTCCAATATTATGTTGGGTGATGAAGCATCTATTGCTGAGAGAAACAGGAGGCTTCAAGTTTTTTGCTCAGCATATGAATCTCTTGTATCCTTGGTAAGTTTGCTGGTTTACTGATTTATGAATTCAGCTTTGAGTGTCTTTAGTACAAAGCAAGTGTTTTTGGTGACTATAAAACCTTAGAGTAATTTCACTAAGCTCTGAGCCAAGCTACTGTTGTCAAAAAACTAATATAGCAGTTGTTTGTTGATTCTACCATTCTTTGATTTAATTTAAAATTAAGAATGTAGAAAATAATTGTTGATAACATTTGTTTCATGAGATGCTAGTGGCTATTCTGATATCATTCATGTCACTTGTGTCAACTATTTTGTGTCAATGCACCATTAGCAGCAAGAATAATTTTTCAGCCAAAAAAAAGAACAAAAAAAAAAAAAAGAAAAGAAAAGCAATGAGAGTAATTTTTTGTGATGCAGGTTTCTATTGTTTCCAATTCAATCTTGTTTTTGAAAGGAAAGAACTACCAGCGGGAATTTCTTTCCTCTGTGAACTTCAACTTAATGGAAAAGAAAATAATATATTTTCTTTCGTTTTAGTTGCCTATTTCATAGCTGTAAGTCTTTGTGGTGCCATGCATTCCTTCACAGGTTAGCTTCTGAGTTCAATGTCCCCAAGACTAGCAAGATCTTTCATATGAGGACCTCAAGGAATTCAAACAGACTAGATATGGTAATAATTGCCTCATTTCTTTAGGATAATGTTTTTTGGTGGTAATCTCTACAGAGTTTTGTTATGGCAAGACCTTAGATGTATTGTTAGGTACAGCAGCTCCTGAATTTCCTGACGTGGAGATTGGATATCAATGCACACACAAAGATGCAGCCTGTCTGTGCATATATACAGAGGACTGACTATTCCGTTGCTTATTGAGCTATGGGTTTTTGAACAAACTAACAAGACAGTGAATGGAATGTGTGGCAGTTTCCTGTAACAGTATTTCTGGCTAGTCCTTGGTGTAGCTGAAAGTTAAATGTCCTACAAGTTATTGTTTATCTTTGAAACTCTTTCTTCATCATAGAGTAGATTTTGACTGTTAATTGATTTCTAGATAATCTATGAGTTTGAGACTTTGAGTTACGTTGAGAGCTTTACAATTAGAGAGCAATTTATAGCTAAATTATTGCATTTATTGAGGAACCTGTTTGAGACAATGTTTCCTTAGAATTTACTGATGCAGTGAATATATGTAGCTTCTTTAAATATTTGTCAGAGGCAGGATTTAAGAACAAAGAAACTACTGTCCTAAATCATGGGGTGGCAATTTTTATTATTGGGAAATGGCTTAAAATGTTATCTTCACATTAATCAATGATATCTGTTGTGTCACTTTGTATCCAATGCGCAGCATGAGGCATCATCTGCCCAACTCCGCAACCTTAAGTTCAGAAATTGTATCTCATGTTATACAAAAATTTCATTGAGTTGTGGATTACAAGTATGGGTCCTTTGTGCTTAAACTTTGTTCTCAATTGTTGCTTCAGCAACTTATAGCTAGATATTAAAATGGCCTAATTTATCTTTAGAGCTATGGCATAGATTACCTAGAAAAGCTGAACTTTGCTTGAAAAGAGAACTTTGTATTTAACGTGGGATTAATGACTAATCTGGTAACAAAAGTTTTCTCTCTTGTAATGGGTTGAGTATTCCTTGTATTCCCTGTAACAAAAGTTACTTTGTTGGCTGATTGAAAAAAAAAAAAAAAAAAACTTATAGCTAGATATTATGGTACGTTATGTGGAATTAACCTCCACTGCCAATACAAGGATCACTTATCTGTTGACTCTGACTTATGCTGATTATGCCCTCTCTTAAGGGAACAATTTGTGCTTGTGTAATTTGAAGAGTTAATTTAAGACTATCTTGTAATTGAAGATAATGGGATTTACTTTGGTTGATTATGAGGTCTTAAATTATATAAGTAATAAAGGATTTTATTGGGTGGAAAATAACATACAACAAGCATAATTGTAGGGATGAGTTTCCTTCATCCATAAAGCATACCTGGTTGCACGTATTCTAAATTTAACTTCTGTTTCTCATTTCTTTCTTTGTGTGATTTACTCTTCTGAATGTAAGGTTTTCCTTTCTCTTGTACGTAAACTTAGCTGAGACCCTAACAGAAGCTGCATTGTTGCTAGCTGTTGCGGATGTGTTAAGTGATGCAGCTTCAGTTTTAGTTGGTGATGCAATCTTAAAAATTCTTTATATGAAGCTTGTGGAGGTGTGTCATTTGCGTCAATGCTGTGTCAATCCTCTCCATTAAGTTTGTTTCATTTTAATATTCCAGAAGCATGATTATACTTCTAAAGAATTTTAAGGTTCCTCTTTTACCTATGGTCATTCCGTAAGACCCTTTTGCTAAGTTAGAGTTCTTTATCTTCTGTATATCTAAGGCTCTAGCTTGCTACGGAAATGAATGTATTGAATGGCGATCAGCTGAGGCTGCCTTATTCTGCATCCGAGCTATTTCAAATTACGTGTCACCCATTGAAGCAGAAGTAATGCCCCAGGTAATCATGATCTTCAATCCCCGGTGACCTTTTTGTGGGACTGTATCTGAAGCGGGTACTAGCTATTGCTTCACAATGCTTCTTTACACCTGTGTTTTGTGTATGCTTTTAAAGTAGTTATTAATATGACCTCTTTTTTCCAGAATGATTCAGTGTGATTTCAGTTTTGGTTAATGGATGTATTTACACTTGCATATCTAAATTTTCCTTTGAAATTATTTGGTGTGTGCTTCAGCTGGAACTTTTAGTTAGTTTGGAACTTGAAAAAAATGCTAATTACCTCCTAGGTATCTTTTATTTTATGTTAAGGTTAAGCATTTAACTTTAAAACCAAGTGGCTGTAGGTGAAGAGGCCTAACTTGAATATATGATCATTGGAAACCACAAACTTAAATGATGTGGATAATACCATTTTGACAATAACACATGCAAATCCATTAGAACAAAACAAAACTTGGACTTTCATGGACAATAGAGAGTGTCCAACAAGAAGTAGGGGCAGTAATGAACTTGTCCTGAGATCATATCTAGGTTCTAACCTAAAAATGTGTGCCAAGAAAAGGTGTTTAACCTAAAACCAATAGATAAGGTGGAGACATCCAACTTGAATAATTGCCCAAACTTGACCAATGTAGTATATTTGCCATTTCTACTTAGTTTTGATTAATGTTTATGTGCTTGATGAACAACCATAATTGTAGTACCAACAAGAGCTTAGCTAAGTTGGTACATATTAACTTAAAAACTTTAATTTGAGGTCAACGTCAAGAGTTTAAATTGGGTTTAAATTGGGTTTAAATTGTTATATTACCAAACAATTAACTTTTGATGTACCTCTTCTAAAAAAAAAATAAAAAAAAACTGCAATAGTAGTGTTTTAATTTGATATGTATACAAGAATAGTAGTTTTTTCTTTGTATATTTTGGTTCATGAATAAAAGTGGAGGAATTTCAGATAAAAAAGAAAGAAAAAAAAAACCACATAGGTAATTCAGAAGTGTTTTTATGTGCGAGAAAAGAGAGATAATTACCTTATAATTGTATTGTTACTGGGTAGTCCCAAAGTTAGTTCTAAATCCATAGCTATGATGATGCTGATTAAAAAAGATAAAAAAAAACAAGGGCTGAAGTGCTAGGTAGCTGAGAAACTAGCAATGTGGTAAATTTGACATCTGTTGCTGGGTAGCTGACACATGTTCGTTTCTTATTTTGTTAGATACCATGATTAATTTTAAACATTTCCATGCCTAGCTCTCTGTTATTAGTATCAGTGTCATCATAGCTATGGATTTGGAACCAACTTTGGGACTCTTTTCTTGCATCTACCAGGAACACTGCCCTTAATTAGCTTCTGTTTTTATTTTTTTAATCTGAAATTCCTCGACTTTCATTGACTCAAAGAAAACACTAATACTCTTGTAAATATATCAGAATAAAACACTGCTATTGTGTTGCTTCTCAAGCACATAAACGTTAATATAATCTGAGAGTTCATCCACATTAACTATTGTGCAACTCGACTTCATTCCATGTTTCCATCGACGACTCGATGGAAACCCTCCATCAACAACTTGCATTTCTGCAAAACGGCTCCCAGAGATGTCTGCGCCCCTATAATACCCATTTCTGCAAAACGGCTCCCAAAGATGTCTGCTCCCCTATAATACCATGCAACACACCTGAGACCACTATCAAACCCTACAATTACCCAATCCAAGGCCCAACCCAATTTTCTTTCACTTCTTGCTCTATTTTTGATTGATTTGAATTAGTCCTTTGAAATCATGAATTTCTATAGAAACTATATAATATAGATTACTGATTTGCTCGCTCTGCACAGGTGATGAATTTGCTAACGTAACTTCCTGAACATCCCCAACTGCTTCAGATTGTTATGCATATTCTTTGACTCCTTATCTATGATCTCTGCCAACACACTCACACTGTCACACAACACACGGACCCTGCTTGGGTGGGAGGAGGGACTTGCACTGGTAGTGGAGAGTGGTGAACTCCTCTTTCCAAGGTTGTGGTAGACAAAATCTGAGTTCCGATTGCCTTCCCTAATCCAATTCCTCATGGGGAACCAAATATATTATCTGCCCTCATCTCCTTAATTTGTCTTGTTTATCCCTTTCCAGTCTGCTTAATGGTAGGAGCATATTCGAGGTGGCTTGATGCTGCACCTAGTGGTTTCTCTTAGTTGCCTTAGTGATAGATATCCTCATGAGTGGCATGCGTTTATATGAGGACTTTGCAGCAGCTGTAGCTTTGGCATTTAGACATATCTGTGATGGTATGGATTCTGTCTTATCTAATATATTCCACTGTTTATCCATTTCCGGAGCATTATAAAAACATAGATACAGGACAATTGGATTTCACGGGCTCATGGATTTTGTATGCTTCCAAGAATAAGAAGACTTGTTATTCTGTGTGCTTGTAAGCGGAAGTCGGATGTGGCTTGAATCACTTTGTTTGCAAACTCCCAAGTACTTCTTGAGCATATAAGTTAGAATGATTTAAACTATGTATTACTCTTTCCTTGATCTAGAAAAGTTTTTGGAAGTAGAGTTTATTTATATTTTCCTTTAAGCATTCTATTGGTTTTGCGATAGGATATGAAGTCGTTTAGGCCTTTAGGGTTCGGGTGAACAGGTGAAAATACCAAAGAAAAAGCTAGGATAAAAAGAAAAAAGAAGAAGAAGAAGAAGAAGAAGAAGAAGAAGAAGAAGAAGAAGAAGAAGAAGAAGAAGAAAAGAAAAGGATGGCCTTGGAAAGCCTTTGAAGTTTGAAGAAACTCAAGTGGATTTAATGCCATCACAACCAAAAAGACTATGAAATTACACTATCACCTCTTCTAGCAAGAAAAACAGTTATCATACTGCCTCTTTTCCTGGTCTAATAGATGACATGTATGATGTCTCTCCCGCTACACGTGTACTATTTTATTTATTTACAAGAAAATTTAGTTTATGCATACATTGTATACACAAATATGTATTAATTTTCAAAAAAATTGTAACTTTAAATCTATCTTCATACTGTTTTATAATTGTGCTTTCAAAAGTGAGGTTTAAAAAAATTCCTCTTCTCTTTAGTTTGTTACAAAAAGCTTTGTCCACATTGCAAAGAGCTCTTCCAGATATAATAGACAGCAGCTAGTGTGGAAGGTAGTTTTAAAGGATCAGTCGGGGACTCGTTGCACATAGTTGAAGCTTTAAGGTGACTTAGTTATTCAGAAACTCTAGGGATTAAGGCAAGGAATGATGGCTTCTAATGTACAGTTTGGCACTTGATTGACTAGCTTTGTTAAAACATTTTCCAGCATTGTTATTATAGAACTTCCACCAGATTCTGCTAAGGATGCCTTGGAGTAATTATGTTCATCAGTTGTTACTCCTTTACCGGTTAGCTTTATTTTCAATGGATTTTCTTAATGATACAAAGTTTGTTGGTGATGCCCTTTTGTTTTTATAATGTTGACAACCAGGAAATTATCAACCAAGGACCAGAAGTATTGGAGAAGAAGCATAGTCGGGAATTAACAGTATAAATAGATTGATTTGCATGTCTTTAGGTATGACGGATGTCCTTTTGCTTATGTTCATGAATCTACTTAGTTTATTGTTCTCAAAATGAAACTACAATCAATTTTCGGTATGTAGACCACCCTGGAGCAGTGGCAGGTGCAATTCATAGGCTTCGGCCAATATTCAAAGCCATATTTGATGTGTAAGTAAATGAAAATTATGGGCTAGACAATTATTATGGTTTGACTTTTACGCTGATTCTCATATCTGACTTGTTACATGCTTCTTATATGGTCGTGCTTGGAACAGGTGCACCTTGAAGTCTCTTTTGCCGGGCTTGCAAATATGCTGTGAGCATGATGAATCATGATGTCCAACTTGTAATTAGGCACAGTTTGAAATTATCATCTTCAGCGGTGACTGTTGAAATGGTTTTAGTGGAGATTTTACTTAGTGCAAAAGGGGATTTACAAATTAAATAAAAGTACATTAGTTTACCCAAGCAAAGTTGGGATAGTTTAAAAAGGTAACCAAGGAGACATTGATTGAGTGTCATCTGGTATTGTTGACTCTGAGTTCAACCTTCACATGGGATCCGCTGGCATTCCCCTACTTATTTTGAGTAGAAATATTTGATTTTCAAGTAAACAATCTCCAATATATACCTTAAACACAAGGTCAACATGCTCTGGTTATATTAACTTTGCATTTAAATTTTTGGGTTTTGAATAAAATGGAACCGATGACCAAAAAAACAAAAAAGGGAACCTCCATCAGTGCCTTGTATTGTAACATGCCCTTTTGATTTGATTTATTGAGTAGGAAAATGTACTGCACAATATATAAAAAATATATATATATACAGCAAGAAATATTTATAAAAAACAATTTCAGCGAAAGTAAAAACTCTTTTAATATAAAATGTTTCTTTATGAGAAAAACTTACTTTCAAATCAATATAAAATTTTGTAGAAAGAAAATCAATAACCTGTAATGGAAAACTAATTTAACAAAAAATATTTTATGGAAAATATTAAAATACTCAAAGTTGTAAAATAAACTAGACTAAGCCAATTTTGATTGATTTAAATATTATATACATAAAAGTAATTTACACAAAAAATCCATGAGAGCAAATATTTTTCAAAAAAACTTTTCAAAAAAACTTTCCAAAATAATAAAAGCAAAATTATCATTTTGGTAACAAATTAATCTGCCTTTACATCAAAAAGTCCTGAGGCACTAGCTTCTATGTACAAAGAGTATACATGACTTATATCAAAAGCTCTTAAGCTGAGCGGCTGCTATTCTAATCTATTGATCTAAAATTAAGAGAAATATCATGAGTTTAAAGTCCAATAAATATTAACTTAAAAGTCCAATAAGTATTAAGTTAAAGCTACCGATTTGGGTTCTAAGACCCCTATACCTATATACTCAAAGGACATGAGAAACAAGTGAACTAAGGCACGTAATATTATAAATCTCAGCATTTAATTAATAATTTAATATCTTAAATCAACTCACAGATAATCAAACATGTTAAGGAATAATCAATGATATTTAAATTAAATTCATATCATAAAAATCATATGCTCACAAATATGATGTTACAAATATAATGCATAAAACAAAAATCATATGATGCTATGGAGTCTGTGTGCTAGCAACACTGTACCAAAGCTAATCACGACACTCAGCCTATTGCACAAAGGTCCACTAATTACCCCGGAGGGTCCACTAAATACCCCAAACTTTAAGTTTAGGTCCACTTACTCCATATCCACAAACACATACAAATGTGAAATAACTTCAAAGCACGTTCAAAATAATAACAAAAATATAATTCCATTTATGCATTTCTATTACAATTAATAATAAATTTCCAATGCTAATTCACAGCTTTCATCCCCAAAATTAGGAATTGATTTTTTATTTTAACAATGAAAATTAATGCATAATTAATCAACCAAAACTCAAGTGCACTAGTCACGGGCAGTAACCAACTCCAATTAAGCTTAATCATGAAATTTTTAAAAGTCTCCACATAAATGTACAAAGAAATATCAAAACAACCATAGCAAGTAAATAACTAATAAAATTTACAAGATTCAAGCATAAAATTAAAACCCACTTCAAATTTCAAAACTGTACATATACCCAAAATTCGAAATATTTTTAAACAAAATTATAATACCCAGAAATCTCTTAAGCAAAAGATTTAGAATCAAATTTCACTAACTTAAACTAATTTTAGTATATAATAGCAAAATCTATAATTTACTCAAAACTCTAATTCAAATTTATAGATATAACCCATATTGACCTATGAAAATTAAAGCACCAAACTGAGACAAAACAGTAGAAATGGCAAAGAACTTCGCTAGAGAGTGTGCCCTCACATGTCTTTAACACAAAACCTAGCTAGAAGAAGAAAGAAAGATGCAAGGGACCGGCTGGAAGAAGAAAAGATGCAGAAGAAAGATGGGTTCGGGAGACATCTATTTCAAGCCAAAGAAAAATGGTTTTACTTGGTCGAGAAAATTTTGAAATAATTAAGTTAAATATCCTTGAACTCTTACTAAATTTTACTTAAAACTCCTAACTCTAAATCCAATTAATTTAATTCCAAAACTTTAAAATAAAAAACTCTAATTTTTAATTTATTAACTAAAGTATATGGGGTGTTACATGTATTGCTTCTATCATATTCAGTTGTTTTACTTTCTCTGGAATTCATTTTCCTCTTCATCGTTTTTTGGGTGGGTGTCCCAACTAGAAACATTCTGTTCGGTTCAAAATTATAGATCATGCATTATTGGTGGACAGCATCTGAAAGACTTAAGAGATTATTAGAGTATCAGTAGGTAAACATTATAGATATGATTAATTAACAAAGTCAATCATTTCGAAGAGCAGGAAATGTAGAATCTCTTTGTAGGTCGTTATAATTATGTAGTTTTGAGCAAATCCTTGTTTACTCTTGTTTCTGATTGTATCTGCAGGGTTTCGAAAATCATTCTTATTAGCAATCATTTCTAAAAGTAATCAGTTTTCTTGGAAATCTCAATGATTTAAAATTTTCTTTAGGTGAGAACTTCAGGAAGGTTCATGGGAATCACAATTGGAGCAATGTTAGAAGAAATTCAAGCCCTGTATCAACAGCACCACCAACCGTGCTTCCTTTATCTCTCTAGTGAAGTTATAAAGGTATGTTTTTCTTCCTTCACATATTGCCAGGATTCAATTTTATTCTACTTTATTTGATTAAAATATTTAGCTGTCAATGCCTCTTGGACTGCAGATATTTGGTTCTGAACCTTCTTGTGCTAGCCACCTAAAAAATATGATTGCAGCATTGTTCCGGCGTACCACTTGTCTACTCACAAATATAAATGTATGGTTCCAGTGGCTTAGTATTTCCTCTTGTTACATTTAATAATGCTATCATTGTTCAAGAAGGTTGGTCACTTTTCTCCTATTCCTTTAGCATCTTCTCTGGAAAAAATGTCAATGCTTGACTCAAATCTTTATAGCTGATCTCATTAGAAAAAAAAAACAGGGGGTCTTGACATCTGATCCTTCTGCTTTAGGAGTTCACCCCCAGACCAGACAGCATGATTGTTTCTTGTTGGCATCAACTTGTTTTCTCTATGGCCCTGATTTGTTGATTCCCTCTGCTGTATTTCCATCTTTGGTGTATTGCTCAATGATTGGGATCACTGTACAGCATCTCTTCTCTGGCATTGATTGCATTTACGTGCTTGCTTAAATCTTAATTCTCTTGCATGCATGCATTCAGTTATCCTTATCAATAATAAAATCATGCTGATATAGAGTTGTGATGTTAAAGTTACAAATTTAGCTGTATAGTATCTTTTACTGCGTTCTTCTTTCTAAAATTTACTAATTATCTTCTTTTTACCGGAAAAGGGGCTTCAAATTCCATTTTGACCTTCTTATCTCATATCTTTGACCTTGCAAAGTCTTGCAAGGCAGAACAATTGTTATCAATAAGGGATAGCGTGATTATTCCTCGAGGTGCAACCATTAGCAGAATTTTGGTTGCATCATTGACAGGAGCACTTCCGAGTTCTTGATTGGAAATGGTAGATCCTTCTACTTTATCACATGTTTGAGCTTTATGAACATTGCCAAAACATAAATGGTTGTGAAAATAAGACTTTCTTCTACTCCAGGTAATATATGCACTTCCGGCATTGACTCGAGCTTATGGAGTGTAAGCAGCAGAGTGGACAAAGTACAGTGTTTCATTAATCCCTTCAACTGCTGCCAAGGATGTGAAGCGCTCCGGATTTCTACTAGCATTATCAGATGCTGCTTCTGGCCCCTGAAGCCACTTGTCCTATGTCTGTCGCCATAATCGGACAATTCAAGAGATCGTACAAGGAGCACTGAAGCCACTTGAGTCGAATTTGGCCCCTGTATCATAGTAAAAACCCAAAAGAAATAGTTGAAAGGTCCTTTTTTTGCATAGGCTTTTCTCGTTTCTTTACAAATGGCTATACGATGGCGTATTAGCTTGTCACATTCATTCATGTTCATCGTTCAATTTTTTTTTTTTTTTTTTTTTTTTTTCTAGGTGAGCATTTGCATTCATATTGGGGAGAATGGCTGGCAGTTGTATCAAATATTGGTGTGCGAACCTACATGGTGTCAATTTTGGGGTAAAGTTATTGATAAGAGCTTTTGAGGTCTTTTTATCTTTTTAAATGGTATGAGTTTCTGAGTTTTGTCTGCAATGGGAAAATCATTGCTGCAGAGCGATGTTATTGTTGTTTTTCACTTTCTAGCAGTCACTCTTTACTGTTGTCAATTTCCTTGCAGAAAGGCCAGAAACGACCTGAAAGCTGAAGTGTTTCCTTTGATGTTCTAATTCTTTTTTTTTTTTATATATATATATTTAATGATAAATTATATAATACGAAACTTTTTCTTTCTAAACCATTTCTCAATCAGTCTAGGCTTCAAACTTTGAATACAAACTATAATTTTCCAACATGTTTGGAATGGAGGTTAAGATAGGACTGGATAAGACAAAATCAATGGAATAAAACAAGATTAGATTGGATAAGATAATACGAATGTCATCCTATGTTTGATACTTCTTTGAATTATATAAAAAATTTATCACATCCTATGTTTGAAACCATGTAAGAATACATAGAATAACTTCAACAAATTTTATAAATAGACAAAAATACCCTTTACTTTCTATTCGTTATTCCCTTTATTACTATTAATAAATCAAATGTCTACAATAAAAACAAATAATGAAAAGGATAAATCCATCAATCTTATTTTATTTTATCTTAAGAATCATTAAATCCTATATAAAAGAGCGTTTTGATGTATCATGTACCTTCTTTGAAATGCAAGAGTCGAATAATTCTCTATGGTAAATTTAAAATATTTAAAAACTTTCATTCACTTATCCAAATTTATTGGATAAAATGTCTTTAAAAAATAAAAATATATTAACTTATAAAAATAATTAACTTCTTTAACTACTAAAAGTATTATATTTATATAATATATAAATTCGTAAATAAGTCAAATAAATTGTAAATTAAAAAATCATAAATTACAAAGAAAAAAATATAAATAAGTCAAATTTATCAAAATAATTCATAAAAAATTTAAATAAAATACTACAATCTTTGTAGCTTGGAGAACAAAATGGAAAGAATATAATGTAAAATAAGAATAATAAAATTCATATTCTAATGTTTTCAAAACCATAAACATAAAAATTTCATAAAAATAGTGCAAGCTATGAAGCTATGAAGCAAACAAGACTCCCCATTGAAAGAACTTGGGGTCATGCACAGAATACAATACCATTCCTATCAATATAAAGGTCCAAAAGTATTTTACTAAATCACCTTAGAACCATCAAAACCATGTGAAACCAGATGATTCTTGGTCACTACACATAAAAGCTTGGAGTGTATTATCAACTAGCAAGTTTTTATTTTTGCAATTTGTGATAGGACTCTACAATAGCAGAAGCTGCCTGTAGCTGGGGCTGCAAACATCATATGCAACAAAAGATTCAGTTTCAGATTGAAGAAATTTGCAAATTAAAACTCAATAATATGATACAAATCAGTTAGACAAAAAGAATAATCAATTAAAGAAGGCTGTGCTTTAACTTGCCTCAAAACTGAAAAAATACTGCCTCAGTTGAACTAGAGCCTCTAAGTTTACTGAACACACTAGAGAGTTCTATACAACCAGTTTCATCTCTATTTTCTGGTGAGGATCATAACCTATGAGTTTGAAATCAGATGCCACAAAAGAATCTATATTCTTTTTCTCTGGATTTATCTTCAAAATCTGGATCAAAATATTATAAAGAGAAAGCCATGAGGAGATGGTCTAGAAATACAAAGCCATTCTAGACCAATGAAATTATCAAATTAAAATTGTTTTACTTACTGGAAAAGGCTTTGGTAGCTTCTGAAGCTGCTCCTGCAAGGGCCTGACATGAGTGGGATAAACATGAGTATCCCCAATAACATGGATAAAGTCTCCTGGAGAAAGATCTGTATAGAAACAAAGATATATAAATGAACATAGTCTGTTGAAAAACAAGTAATCAATCAGATAACTACAGAAACCCATTAAAACTAATCATTGTAGCAAATTTAATGCATTCACAAAAACCACATTGTTATCTACATACCACAAACATGAGCAATCATATTTGTCAGAAGAGCATAGGATGCTATGTTGAATGGTACACCCAGGCCCATATCTGCAGAGCGCTCATACATCTGACATGACAACTCTCCATTGGCCACGTAGAACTGTAAAATTTTGTACTGAATAGGATGAGCTCAATTACAATAAGGGAAGTATAAGACAACCCAACCACATTGAAACAACAAGAATTGCCCCCTAAATCTCTCGCTGCAAAGATAGCAACTTCCAATTCTTAAAATAGACTAGGAAACTCAATGACTCTTGGGTAGACATTAAATATGGCTGCGTCAATCAATATTGAAGTAGTTGTTTAATTCACTAGTTGAATTAAACCATTCTATGGGCAAAGAATAGAAAATTCAGGTACCATGTGACTTGGGTTGCTATTATGCACCATCCAGCGTCAAATTTACCAAAAAAAAAAAATATATATATATATATATAATGCTAAAATTCAAATCCAGCAGTAACCCGTCATTTTCTAGCCAACAAGAAGCTACCAAAATGTAAAACATCAGAAAAACAGATTTGAATTTGCAAAGAATACAGAAATTTCGTTCCCAAATTTGAATAGTATATCAAATAATTCCAGAGATGGATAGCTAAGAAGAAACTGGGTGCTATTCCTCTATTTTTTCTACAGAATTAGCAAAAACGAAATACCCAAGAACAAAGATAAAGGTTACAACCTTACCGGAATGAGCGGCTCAAGATCGGAGAAGAAGAACAGAGGAATCCCAGGATTGCTGCAGGTGAGAAAAAAGGGATAGATCTGAGTTTTATAGATAACGAAGGAAATAAAAATGAAAAAGTAGATCGGACACTTAACAAAGGATCGACGGAGTGGCACCGGTTACGGCGACCAACGAGGTGAGGAGAGATGGAAGGGCGATCGTCGCGTCAACTGTGATGGGGAAGGAGAAAGGGCACAAGAGAGATTTTTTCTATCGTTCGGAGAAACTTTAATCCAATCCCACCATAACACATGCGGGACAGGAGATCATTTTTATGCCTTCAGGATTGGATAAGATAGAACACCGGATACAGTTTATCCTTTCCATAGGCAGCAATAGGGCTGGGCAGTATACCATAAATGTCAGAATTACCATTGTATCATCTCTCATTATCAGTGGAACGGTATGGAACGGTATGGTAAATTTTTATATAATAACTCTAAATAGTAATATACTACTATCATTTAGACTTATGGTACGGTATTAATATTGAAGGTTATTATTATTTTTACCATATGATTACCAAATTTACCATTCATTCAAAACTTTTTCCTCTTTTTTTTTTTATTCTACAAAGTTTTCAATTGTTGCTAGTTCTCTTTTTCTTTTTTTTGATGTGTGCATGTTTTGTATAATTATATATTTGTATGCTTTAAGATGATGAAGAACGATATAGAGAAAATAAATTTTTAAGATAATTTTTTAAGATAATTTTAAGCTTTTAAGATTGAATTTTAAATGACTTAAATTAATTGATAACGAAAAAAATAAGTTTAAAGATGATAATATAGTATGGTATTGGTAAAGCAAGTTTCATTATCATTAAAAATGGTTGGCAGCCATTACCAAAAAATCATCAATTGATATGAAAATGATAACTTTTTTTTATTACCACTTAAAACGATTACCATCATTTGAGTGCGGTACAATTACCATACCGTACCATGCCTAACCTTGGGCAGCACCAAACGTGGAATATTGATCGATTGGATTACATTTTATCCAATCCTGTCATTAATCCGGTGCTCCAAACGTGCTGTTCAAGTGTTAATTATTTCAACGTTTCTTTGGGAATAACAAGGTACCACATATTATCTTTGCTAGACCAAATTAAAATCTCATTTATCATATAGAATGATGTTGTAATGGTGTACAAGGGTAAATGTTGTAAATAATTTCAAATATTAAGCATAATGTGTTATGAGAGATGGTGTATGGCTAGGTTTACTTATAATTGTATTAAAGTGTGCTGCTAGATCTCTTAATACATTTTTAGCAGCATCTATTAGGATAAAAACATATGTTTAAGTAAAATCGCACATTAGCTCTTCAATAATAAAATATAACGAGAAGTAAAGAAGAAAAACAACTACATTATGTATATTTTTTTGACCCAAGACCTCTATCGTTTAGTATGCCTTTGTTTGGCCCTTTATATTTTTCTAATTTTTCATCATCTTCGGTCAATTTATACACTAATTGAATTAATGAATTCCAAAATGGTTAAATCTCAATTTTAGTCCCTCTACTTTAGTAAAAAGTCACTTTTTAATCCTTATACCTAAAAAAGCTCATTTTTTACTCCTAAAGTTTGAAATTTGGCTATTTTTTAGTCTATCCGTTAAATTTTGCATACGTGGTATATTAGAGAACATAAATTTCAAAGTAGAGGGACTAAAAATAGGGTAAAAATAGCCTCAATTTGATCCTCTACTTTGAAAAATAACCTTTTTGTCTCTCTTTTCTAAAATTTATATTATTTAACACCAAAACTTAACGAAAGGATTAAAAAATGATTAGATTTCAAATTTTAAGGATCAAAAAAAGGTTTTTTTAAGTAGATGAACTAAAAAAAGTTTTTTACCGAAATAAAAGGACCAAATTAAAGTTTTAACCTTTCAAAATTGATAAAATCATAATAAAATATAAAATTAATTTCACATAAATGCATAACAATTGTATGGAATGACACCTAAATGTCTCTATACAAAGAACTCTACCCTATGGAATAATTCTTAGCTAAATCTAATAAAGTGATATGAAGTGAATATAACAAGCATCCAATCCCAACTTCTTGAATGAGTTTGAATATGGATTTTATTTTATTTTATTTTTTTTATAATAAAGAAGAATGACAAGTTGGAATTTCATAGATACTAATGTAGAATTTTTGCTTTAATATTATTAATAATTAAATGAGTTTTTATAAAATTTTACTTGATTTTACACTAATTTCATTCCTTGGGTTGCATCCCTTGGGCCAAAGAGGACTTAATTGGAAGAAATTGCAATATTTAGGATCAAATTAAAGAAATCAGAACTATAATAATCAAAGTGTCAATTCATGAAAGATGAGAGACCAGAACAGTTTTACAAATGAAGCTCTAAAATTGCATTTTAGTCCAAAATCTCCGAGACGAACTTTGTCTTCAAGATACAGTTTGTGTATTGGCACTTCCAATAGTCTCGACACACTGCGATTTTCAGCTAGCCGCCCTGTCCTTACAATTTTGGTGCGATCCGACTACTATCCTAATTTTTCTAAAATCTTATAAATAGTTATTCAAGATTAAAATTGAGAGGAGTTTTTAGGGAGACTTTTGACTGAGGTTAATTCCATTTCGTATTGGTTTTGAGCTTAATCCAAAACAGTATAAAATTGGATTCTGTTTTGGTCAAATATCAGGTTTTTTTTTTTTTTGTCAAATTTTGATATAACAATTAGTATTTTAACGTGCCAATTGATACACTGAAATGTTATCAGTTTGATTTATTTATCTAATTTGCTTAAAAAATAAAATTAAAAAAATACTATTTATTAAAAGATGTCATAAAAATAAGTTTATCTCTAAAAATAAAAACATTTATCAATATACTTATTTTTTTAACAAAATATCTCTATTTTTTAATACATAGACATAAATTATAACTCATCTCAAATTATTATTTTTTTAACTAAATGGGTCAAATAATTATTTAATTAGATTTAGAATTAAAAGAATATATATTGAAAATATAAAAAAGTGTTTAATTTTTTAGCTGGGTTAGGTTTACGCGCAAATAAATATATAAAATTTCATAAATAAATATAAAATATGTGGATGTATTGTTTTCTTTTAATATTATAATATTAGCATTTTATAAAAATTTTTATTTTAAATGTGTTTTTAATTTTTAAAAAATTAATTTTTTTGAGTATTAATCTTTCTTATATTTGTTGAATATCATTTCACAATTGTATATTTACTTTATATGAAAAAATATATTTATAACAGTAGATCTAAAACAATACAAAATTTTTTTTTAATATTTAATATGTACTATTTAAGTAATAAAACCAATACACATGTCAATAACATATTGAGAATCTTACATTCGACAGTTCATTTTAGAGCACTCTTAAAGATCAAAATAGAGAAGGCAACAAGAAATTTATTAACAATACAAAATCCAAAATTTCAACTTTCTTAAATTAAGTTTTGTTTTTTCAATTATTTTTATTTGTTGGTTGATATTTTTATATTCATAACTATGATTTCATATTTTATTTTTTATTATAAATTAATTTAGTCATTAAAACTACAATGCAACTTAATTAATTTGATATAGATTTTTATGGTTTATGCTATTAAAATTAATTTGAAGAGTATAATTAAAATCAATAGTAGATTTTATGCAATAGTTTTTTATAATATATATTATGAATTAAACAAAAGTCAAAGATAAACTAATGTAATTTGTGTTGCATTAGTGATAATTTATAAGTGAATTTAATTTTTTATATAAATTAGTGAATTTTACAAAATATAATATATTTTTATATATTTAAATTCAGATTGAATTTATAAGTAGAAATATGTTTGATATAAATTAAAAATATATAATAAATATAAGAAGAAATTTCGTTATAACAAGAGTAGTAAACATTTTAAAAGTATAATAATTTAAAATTTTTATTAATTGATTATACTAAAATCAAATGTTTTGACACCTTGTAGTTTGGTTTTCTTGTTTCTAAATTGTTATTTTTTATTATTTTTAATTAAAATTTAT